ATTGCTTGTCAACACTTACACAGTGCACATGGACAGTGCTGTATACATATATATATTAGTAAGGGAGGAAGAATGGTGTGTAAGAATCTGTGAAACCCTTTCAGATATTTTGTATTTACCCATTTTTAGATGAAACTGGAAGAATAAATACTTTGACAAGACCTGCAAGGCTTAGCAAAGTAATTTATCATCACATACACTACACTAATACATGTAGAAGGACTGAGAAATACTATGTGTTAGAAATTAAGTGAACCCAAAAAATGCATTTTTTCTATTTGCTTCTGGTGAATATTTACTGTAGGATTTACTAATGTTGTCACTTTGAAAAGTAATTTATATCTACAGAACATGACACAAACCCATTTTTATCTTTCTTTTTGGATTATTTCAACTCTATGAAAAGAATTGTAGCAAAATGAAACATCCTGACTCTTGGTTTGTTAATGCTCATTTGCCTAGCATTGGTTACCACATCCTTCACTGCATACAGACCTCCCAAACAGTGCATAAATGGAATGAATCTAAAATAATTGTTTTTCAATCCAGCAAGAGGTATTATGCACCTGGATCCTTTCAAGAACAGCCCTGGAATTCATTCTTAATTTAAATGCTGTTTTGTAAGGCTGGGACTTGCAGTCTTCCATTGCTGGAGTTGATGTCAGTGTTTATGCTGTCATGAGTAAAAATGTTAATACTGTGTACCAACTGGTTGAATAAGACTTATTAAAGGTAACAGATGTGTATCAAACACTTCACCTTCAATTTGATGCTGTATTGCATAATTGTGCAAAATATTATCATATCTTTAATTTTGAACTGTTAAAAGTGAATGTCCTTACAACATATAGACTGAGTACACAATTAAATCTATAGTCATTGATGATCTGTTAACATATAGCAGTGAAAATGGCAGGTGTGTATGGAAGAATTTTTATGCCCAGGAAATATTTACATTATGATAACACTAATGCCAACAGGAATCATGTTTCCATGCCCTGTCCACTATTATTTAATCAACCTTATCTAACTTATTCATCCTGTACCCTGAGTTTTCAGAAAGAAAAGTTTCTATATTTATCATGATTATAATAAAAAAGTGTTTATGACTATGATATTAGAAAAAATGAATTTTTAGTGATTTAAGGGACTGTGAAGCCACCTTTGCAAAATAAAATAGACAAAACAGAACTATAGTTAACAGTGCATGTATCTAGTGCCAATATGTTAAAATCTAGGGTTCACTTATTTTCTCACCTGAAAATATTTAATGATTGAACACATGTTGGACTATGTAACTTTTATGTATGTACTTACTCATGCAGTTTTAATTTGTTTTCAGAGATTGTGATATTTTGCTTAGCTTTTGGCCTAAAAAAGGGATAAATACAGTATCCATTAGGGTTCAGTAAACTTTACACCTCTACACTGTGTTCTCAAAAGATGCATGCTGATAGTATGTGGACAAAATGAGCTTACTATTATATCATGATTAATGCCAGGGAAAAAAAGTTTATTTGGTATTTAGAAAGAGAAATTTGAAAAGAAATGGTTTAAAACATTTTATAATGTATGTATATGTATTTTGTACAGTGTGTATCATAATATTACTTATGCTGGAATAAGGTATTGCTGTAAACTGATCCATTTGTTGCTTTGTTTTATTCACACTCTTAGAAGGAAAATTAGTGAAAACAGAGATAATACTAGATCTGTTTGAGACCAGCAGCAGAAATAAAGCCAAAAAAAAATAAAAAAATAATAAGATGCCATTCTAGCATATTTATATCAATATTAAAGAAAAAATAGTTCATAATTAGTCTCTGACTTCATATTTTGTAATTTCTTTATATTAATTTTATTCTATTATTACACTTTTTTACATGGAATTTCTTGTAATTAGTTACTCACATCAGACACTGAGAACTAAATTGCTTCATAGTGCTTGTTCTGAAAAGAAATACCATTAACCTTGGAACTCATTTAAGTAATGTCATTGGAAAATAATATTTACTCTTTAATTTTGATATATATTATAAATAATGACAGTGATGCTGCTCATTCTGGTATGTTGTCTTTGAAAATGTGACAGAGATGATGCTGGAAAGGACTTTTCACTTTATTCATTTATGATATCAGAGGACAGCTTATTGACTTTAGCATTTTTGGCATGCAACCATTATTACATCTTTAATAAAAACACATTCGAAATTTAAAGTCGAGACTGAATGATGTTTTCCATTTACCAAATGAACAATTTTTTTTTAAGAACTAGACCTTTACCATGGATATTCAAGTAAATTGTAATTTTATTTTGCACTAAAAGAGTATATAATTGTATAAATGGACATTCCTTATGGAATTTATAACTGACAAATTATCCACTTGGATCACATGGAGTGATCCCCCTAAATTGACCAAGATATGCAGCTAACATTAGGTCAGAAATTTCTGGCAGGTCATCAGAGATAGCATTATGGAGGACCATTTATTAAGCATATGCCAGGTCAGTATTCATGTTTCAAAAAATGTTTCACTAACAAACATCAAATTCATGTTTCATTACTTTCTATATCCTTTGCTTGCTCGCTTGCTCTTTTTCCCTTTATAATGGTCGTGGGTTTAAATTTACAAGAATATTCAGTATCTGTTTAGCTGGTTAATTAACAGAATAGACATCCTGAACCTTACTAACATCCCTGAGATGCAACTCTGGGTTCCCGACAATGATTATCAGCAAAGCTTGGAGCTGGCCTAATTTCTATAGGATTTGCTGAGAAGTCTGTAACAAAGGACTTGACTGCTGGAATCTATAATGACAGGGAACATAACCCACAATGATGAAGCAGAACAAAGATTTCCTACAACATCCACACTGGCTGAAGCTCTTGACTTGACTGATAGAAATACAGCAGTGTCAACTAAAAGGTGAGATTTGGTCCCTCACCTCCTTGCTTCTCGAAGGAAGAGAGGGAGGTGATCAGCCTATTTGAAACAAGAGCACAAGCACAAAATGGAGTTTGAAGAGATGAAGGGAAAGGTGAAGAAAAGCCCACAAATGTGTCCTTGATAAGCTTCAAACAGGAGCTTCAGAAGTTAGAGGAAGGGAAGGATAGAGCATGCACTTCTAATTCCCTAAGAATAAATGTGTGAGGAACGTGAACCATGTAATATGAATTGTTTTTGTATGGGGAAAGGATGTACACATTACACCCTGAACATAGTAAAAGGGCGCACTGAAATGATAGCAGACAGCCCAGAGGCATTGAGGAAAGACCTCAGGGTAGTGTAAAACCAAGTGCATTGCTTAAAAGGCAAGTCTTGACAGAGAGGGAAGATACAATCTGAAGTACTGCACTCATGTCAGCAGGTGAAATCATGTCTGACAACACCTCTCTGTGTGCTGTTGCCAAACTATTCAATCACCATGTAATTTTGTTAACTGTGCTTTGATAAGAAAAACTGTTGAGGCTAAAGAGGTATGATGAGAAGCCTCATTCACTGTACCTACAATTTGACCAACCTTGCCTCGCACATTATTGAAAGCAGAAGCTAATTCCTGAATATTATGCACAAGTATGTTTACAGCATGAGCAGATGAGTTGAAACTGTAGGCTACAGATGATATGCTTTCCCTATATTTCCTGAGTAGGGATGTAAGTGTCATCATCCACAATTCTGAAAAGTCTGTGCACAATGTTGCCTACAAAATTGAATAATCCTCTCTGGGCCTTAACTGCAGACTTTGAGAGGTCCTACAAAAGAATTAAACTCTGTCATGTGCATCAAGAGAAGAATCAAGAGTAATATTTTCACGAAGAGAAAGTAACTGGTCCCTGTGGTACACCATGAACTGCAAAGCGTTGTGGAGTGGTAATAGTGAGAACCGGGCCTCCCAAGTGGCTTATTTTGGGGTAAATCTTCCCCAGCTCCTCAATCATAGCCCCAGGTGAGGCTTTCGTGTTATGTGGCAGGCGATGCAAGATTCCTCCCACCAGGAGTGCCTCAAAGAATATTGACAACATAAGGATAAGTCCGATTTGCGAAGCTGAGCCTCGCCCGGGCTATGGGGGAGCCCGGCCTGTGCCGACTAATGTCGACTCGCTATCAGTGTGTCAGCAGATGCTGACTCGGGTGAGCTTAGTCCTTACCCACCGTGGTGCCCAGCCACAGCAGTAACCTCCAGGCGACAATTGCAACTTCTTGCGCCTGGGCGGGGCGCGAACCGCCGACCCCTCGGATGAGAGGCCGACACGTTACCACTGTACTAGCCCGGAGGCTATTGACAACAGCATCCTGGAAGGGAGAGCCAGATATCACTCACAATATCACGCAGCAGTCATGCTATATCACAATAGTCAGTTACAAGAGAGCCTATGTAAGACAGTGAAGTAAAAGGAGTGACGACTTTCAGTCCGAGAATGAGCAATGCAGGTATTGCATGAAATCACATCTAATAAGTGCATTATAATAGCAAAGGTAAATGACACTGCATCTCCAAAACTAACAGATAACAAAACCCTATGGAAGTAACACTTATGTCTAACTAGCTAACTCTTGAGCACATGCAAGTAAAATGAATGCAGGATGATATGCCTAAGCAAAAATGACGAGGGAGAGGGGACAACTTATAATTCCTGGCACTGATAATACTGATCAGCCAGCTTCAGGACACCAAAATGGAACCACCACAGAGCCATCAGCTACAGACTTGAACTGCCAAACCAAGACAAAGTTCTTCTATGGCAATACGTGTGCAAATGCTTCCCAAGGTTGCTATACGTAAAAGAAAAGAGAAGACCCCCCTCCCCAGTCCAGTCAATATGTAGAAGAGAGTAGTGGGTTACTTTCGAAACAATTTTGATATTTTTCAGCATGAAATCCACTGTTTTCAACAATTCAACAAGATCCCCCAATTTTGGAAAGTCGCTCATCTTGTTTACATTGCGAGGGTGAATTCTAGACTCATATACTACCACGGGGTCCAGGGGGCATAGCCCCCAGACTAGGCATATATATTACTACGGTGGTCCAGGGGGCATGGCCACCATGGCTAGGGAATATATTAGGTTAGGTTGGATGTTGGGTTAGGATGTTTTGTTTAACAACTACGGGGGTCCTGTTTTACCCCATAATTTCCCTGATATACTTCATGCCCTCCCCTGCTATCGGGACTATCAAATCAAGATTGTCGATGGAGATGGTGATCATATCTCCTCAACGATTCATTTGCACAAGGAACAATGCCTTGAATTGTTGAAAACAGTAGATTTCATGCAGGAAAATATCAAAATTGTTTCGAAAGTAAGTTCTCTTTTCTTTTACGTACAGCAGCCTTGGGAAGCATTTGCACACATATTGCCATAGAAGAACTTTGTCTTGGTTTATACTGTTCTATCATTTCATGTAGGTTTTATTACCCAACTCTGCCTCTACTTTGTACTACATATTGACCTTTTTTCTTAAATACCAAAGAACCGACCCCGATAGTCTTTGAACAAGCGATCTTATGCCAGTACTCAGTTATTGAATCATGTGAACTTTCCATTAGCACCTTTTCTTATTGAAATGCTCGCTGCTGCTGAGAAACCAAATAATCAGCATAATTGTCCACACAGAGGGGGCGCGGTCTCATCTCCAGGAGTTCGTATGGCAACCACTTGCCCTGCCCCGTGAGAAGAAAGTGCCCAGGGAAGAGTGATAGGTAAAATGATGGCCGACTGGACGGGGAGGGGGGTCACAATCGTCCTTGTTGTCGTCCACCAGTTGGTGCAAAATCGTGCTACATCCCTCCCCAGGCCTGATTAGGAAGCGTAATCCCGGCCTGACGTCGCTGTAATCCCTGCGTGGCCCATCATTGAAGACTATCCAGGGGTGAGGGCATTCCAAAGTCCAAGGGTGAATCACGTCACAGCACCGACGCGTCGTCAGGACTTGGTGAGCACCTATAGGATCCCCGTAGGAATCCATCCTTCAGGGGGCAAGCAGGTACTGCGGCAGACTATTTCGTCTTGAGACCGCCTCTGGATCTGGGGAAAGAGCTCGGCTGGATCAGGCACTGACAAACTAACAAATGATAGCAGCTACATCGTCAGGGTCATTAGCGAGGTCGGCAAACTCAAGCTCCCCAGGTGGGTAGTATGGTTTCATCTGGATGATGTGAGCCTTATCGAGTGGGGAATCGGCGCCAGGAACAGACACCAGAAAAGTTACAGGCTTAATCTTGCAGGTAACACGGTGGGGACCATCCCATTTCGCGGCTAGGCCACGATTTCCTCGGCTTCGTCGTAAGACAAGCGTCCCCGCCTCCGGCTTGAAATTGCTTGGCCGTACCTTGGCACTGCATGCTGCGTCGCCTCTATGGCACACTAGCGTGCTACACGCAGTTGTTCAGCGGTATCTTCCTCGGTGTCACTGTGGCATTTATGATACCAACCGGGAAGTGGCCATGGCGGCCAGTCAGGAGGTATAATGGCTGCTCCTGTGCGCTGCGGTGGATGGCACTATTAATAGCGAGGCGTACCTGTGGTAGGAAAGAGGGCCAGGATTCAGGTTTGTGTTCTATGAGAGAGTATAAAGCATCTTTCACCACACGATTCGTTCTCTCTACCATCCCATTCGACTGGGGATGATATGCAATGGTGAATCCAAG